CCCCAAAACCCCAAAACCCCAAAACCCCAAAACCCCAAAACCCCTGAAAATAATATGAAACTGAATTATAGTTGGGATTATTAGAGGAAACTTTACACATATTTGAGTTTCACATCATGAGGCAATGAAGCCTCTGCATCTTCAGCAGCATCCATAGTTTTATCATTCACATAAGCTTTGTAACCAGTCAAGGTATATGGGTCGTAAGGATTCATGGCAATAGTGGGAGTGCGCATGTATGATCCTGGCACCCATAACTCAGGAATGAATGATCCTTGTTCATAAAAGTCAATCAAATATTGTGAGACAAGAGCAATTACGAAGAATCTTCCGAAGTAGGAGAGATACCCAGCATAAAGGGCCTGCAAATTGCCATGGTTTTTAATATTTCCTTCATATTGCATGATCTTAGTTAGTCAGTCAGTGAGACCTCCATATGGCCATTTCCCATTGGGGAGTGGTCTCTGTGTGTACAATCTCATTCTCAAAGTATCAAATGGCAGACTGGCAGCAGTGGCAACACCACTAGCGACAAGAGTAGCGAGGATTCTGTTGAGCATAATTGGCCCTAAGAAATAATAGAAGTTCTCTTTGACCCAATCGTGGAGAGCATAAGCTCCAGTAATTAATCCTGCGATTCTCAGCCCATTAGCGAGAGCTCCTCTAAATAAGGCTCCTTCTTGAGCAGTTTTCATGAACCCTTCATAAAAGGTCTTGTAGCCTCTCTTATATCCTTTAGGATAGAGGTCGTCTACTTGCATTCTAGCGTATACGATCTCGATAGGGTTTGTCAAAATACCTGCAACAAGACCTCCAGCAATACCAGCCATGGCTTGTCTATCTGGCCTGGCATACCTTCTTGGGTCTTTGTTGAGCCTATCAAAGAACCAAAGGTAGCATGAAACTCTTGCGGTTGTATATGCAAATGTTCTAGCAAAAAATCCTTCGTATGAAGTATACCATTGCTTGTAGGATCCTCCAGACTTATTAATTTCCCTAAAAATAGCGAATGGGTTGCTTCCTCTTTGAGTTCCGAGGCCATAGAAGGTTCTTCCTTCTTGGAGCATCTGAGCTCTGACCTTGATCAAGTCAAGTGGTTGTGTCAAAGTATGAGTAATCAATGCCAGGACATTAGCAGCAAAGAACCGCTCCTTGTTCATCCGCTGGTGCTTGTTCCTAAAATACTCGATCTCTTGCTGAGTAGGCATTTTATAATATTATAATTATCAATAATTTTATAATCTTTAGGGGTTTTGGGGTTTTGGGGTTTTGGGGTTTTGGGGTTTTGGGG